AGTCCATATATCTCCTGTCCCTGCTTTATTTTTCTCTATAGCATTTGCCACCCGACTTGTTTATTATCTCACTCCCTTAGAGTACAAGCAGAGATTTTTGTCTGTTTGTCTTCCTGGCTGTGAACAGTGCCTGGCCTTTAGTTGGTGTATGATAAATGTTGGTTAAATGAATGAATCCATGTACTACCTATACTTTCTTTCGATTGTCTAATTTTATCACTGAAATATCTACTTTAGCCCCTCCCTAAGCAAAAATATACCTGAGATCACAGATTTGGTGCTTTTATTATACCCCTTTTCCAATACACTTTTGAAATTTACATAACTGTTAAGATTTTCATATCAGGGCACCACCTAAAATCCTTTTTGCTTCTGCTAAAGGTGTGGGGGCACCACACTCTGGGAATCACTGGTCCAGTCCAATCCCTTCTTTGAACAGATGGACAAACAGAGGCCCTAGCCCAATGTCTGACCCAAATTGTCACTGGAACCAAATCTCCTGACCTCCAGTCTTCTTTTCTTTTGTAGTTTGAGGGAAAAGGGGAGCGCAGGACTGGATGATTCAGCCTCTCCTCTGGCAGGAGATTCCTCCTGCTGGAGGAGTGCCAGACACGCCTGGTAATTGGTGAATGGCAGGGGTGGGGCATGGCCGGGTCAGCAGTCTCCAGCACCTGGAGCCATGTTGCCCTCCCAGCTGCAAGGGCCAGCCGGGCCCAGGCTGCTGCTTCCCTCCCAGCAGTCTTAGACCTGGGAACTGTTCCTAGGGGGCTTGGGATTCAAACATGGCACTCTCTGCTACCCTACCATACATTGTCTAGAGATTGACACTAGGGTCCCCTGTGGAGAGAGAATGCTGCGAGTGGGGGTGGGGATGGGTTGGGCTATTCCTGGTTGTGAGCAGAAGAGCAAGGGCAGGCCCAGAGAGGGCTGGTGAAGAGAGGGAGAGAGGCAGAGGGAACCCAGCCTGGTAGTCATGCAGAGGTGGGTTTGTGCAAAAGGCTGAGGTTAAAACCCCATTCAGGTGTGCATAGTGCTTTATAGTATACAAATCATTTCTGCATCTCATTTGCTCAGCAGCTACTCTGCAAAGCAGATATTGTCATCCCTGTTTAACTGATGAGGAAGTTGAGACTCAGTGAGTGAGGTACTTTTTTTTTTTGTCCTTTTTGAGACTGGCCGCACCACGCTCAGCCAGTGAGCGCTGTGAGTGCACCGATCATCCCTATATAGGATCCGAACCCGCGGCGGGAGCGCTGCTGCACTCCCAGTGCCGCACTCTCCCGAGTGCGCCACGGGCTCGGCCCAGAGAGTGACGTATTAAAGGTACCCCAGCAAGCTGAACGGGATGCCTTGTTGAGCCCTAGATGGGAGGGGAACAGGCTGTACCTTTCATTGGATTTGGTAAAGGAGGGCTGTCTGGGGGAGGAGCAGCCAGACTGCATGGATAGGGGAGTGGGAGGCAGGTGCTGGAGAAGTCCACTCTGGCCTAATAACGGTGGCAAATTACAAATGTTTCTGAGCCTCAGTTTCCCCATCTGTAAAACAGGGATAGCAACACTCCTTTCCTCACAGCTTGTGAGGATAAAATAAAACATGCCTTGAACGTCAAAAGTGCTCAGTAAGCAGCCACTTGAGTACGAAAATGAGTGCGAATGGCCCCTGACAAGTTTGTACACGGTGACCACTTGCCAGGAGGGATTCCCAGCGCTGCCTCTGCCAGATGTGAGCGAGCCTGAGGCCCAGAGAGGGTTAGCACACCTGGGGGATCCGAAAGGGGGAGGGGGTAGGTTTCTCGGTCACAAAGGCTCAGGCTGGTGCTGAGGCCTCTAGGGGAGAAGGGGCAGCCGATAAACCTCATGCCCGCGCCCGGGAGCTCCCGGCTCCTTCTGCCGTTTACCCTGTGTGCTGTTTACTCCTTGCGCACTGTGACTCCAGCCTGCTGGGGTTGTCATTATCATTCCTGCTGCGTTTTTTCTCCCCAGTTATTTATTTTTCTGTGAGGAAGGAATGTAGGGAATTTACCACAGGGCGCTGGCCTTTGCTTTCAGCTGCGCAGAGGCCTCTTCTATAAGAAGGAAGCAGCCCAGACAGATGGCAGAAGGCGGAGGAGGCGGAGGGTCCCGGCTAGTTCTGTGGCCCCAGCTGTGGGGCCGTTATGTAACCCACTCAGAGGCCCAAGGCAAATACATGGTGTTCCTGGTCTCTGGGCATGGACCTTGTAACGTACATAGCTTCTGTGGAACTGTGCCTGGCTCATCCCATTCACCCTTGGCCTCAGGGCAAGTCCAATGGGCGAGTCCATCTGTCAAAGGTGCCTTTCTCTCCAGCTGGTCTTGGCTTGGGGTAAGGGGTTAGGCATAGAGGAATGAGGTGGGGATTACCTTGAGCCTTCCAGCCTCTGCTGAGCTGTCCTCATTGCTTGGAATGCCTCCTCACCTCCATCTTTCAAGACCTAAGTCATGTGCCATCCCCTCCAGGAAGGCTTCCTGGATTGCTTCACCCTAATTCATCTCTCTCTTAGGCTCTATGTTCTTTTGGTGCTCTATGTTTTCCTGAGACTTCATGGAACATTCTGCCTCTTAGGTCTAACAGCGATCTGACGTTTCATCTCCCTCTTTACCTACGGACTTGGTGCTCCCTCCTTCCTTCTCCCTCTTTCCCCCAGGAACCACCCTCTAGATCTTTGCTCTAGAATCCAGACAAATCTAGAATTTGCCTCCAGGAATAGATGGTGGAGCAAAATGTGAAGCTGGATGCTTTGGACTGTGGGAGCGCTCACCCTTCAGTAGTTTATTTAGTCAGCACTTCTTGAACCCCTTCTGGGTGATGGCTTGAGCTGGGTCTTGGGGCATTTAGAGAGGACAGAGACCAGCTCAGGCCCTAGGCTGGTGCAGGGGTAAGGGAAAGGGCTGCATCTTTGTGGATGGCCCAGGATGTGCCAGGCCCTGGGGTGAGTAGTGGGGATCCAGAGATGACCCAGGCCCTGCCCTGCCCCCTCTTCCCTGTCCTGGCTCCTTACCTTTTGTCTCCTGGATTATGTGTTTTCTCTGGAAGGGTGGGGTGTGACAGTCCTTTTTTTTTGCTCCAGGGGCTTCCAAGAGGGTGACACAGCAGGAGGGGGCTTGGAGAGCAGGGCTGGCTTACCAGGGCTGGACTGGGAGTGGGAGCCTGGGCTCTCTGTAGACTTGCCCCTTCCTGTTCGCTGTATACCTGGGGCTTAGCCTGCCTCTTTCTGGGTTACCATTTCCACATTTCTGAAAATGTACATATTACAGATTAGTGATTAGGCCAGTAGAGCAGGCAGGAGGGAGTTGGTGGCTCCTGCCTCCTGGCCAGGACCCCACAACAGGGCCCTGGCCAGCCAGCAGTGAGCAGTGCTTGTGGCCTGCAGGGACAGCTGCCAGCCCAGGCCTGTGCTGACTTGAGAGCCCTCATCTCAGTTTCTTCCCACCCCACCCCCCACCTCTTCCCTGCCTGATCCGGACCCACTGCCAGCGGGAAGAAACCAGGAATTTGGCCAGGCCTAGCCTCCTTCCCCTTGGTTTCTGAGTTTTCTCAACCCGTTGTTTCCTCTGAGCCCCACTCCTACTCTGAGGCCTCTGGGTCAGGCTGAGCAGAGGAGGAGCACTGATCTAGGAGTCTGGATGGATGGATGAGGGCTTCCTGAAAGAAGTGGCAGTTGGGCTGGGCCAGGGACAGTGGGTGGGTAAAGAGAGTGTGCTTTGTGGGAGGAGCTCTCCAGAAGGAAGGCTGTCCAGGTCTGGGATCAGTCAGACTGCCCAGGCTCCAACTCTGCTCTGCCCCTTGCTAGCTGCGAGACCTGAGGTGAGTTAGCTAATTCTCTGTGCTTCGTTTTCCTCATCTGTAAAGCGGGGATATGGAACCTCCTTTATGAGTTGCTGTGAGGATTAAATGAGAAGAGGCATGGGAAACCCTTAGCAGGGCAGCATCTGGTGCTCCTAATATGTTGGCTATTGTTATCCTCATCATTGTGATAATGACTTCATTATTATTCTGCAAGCACCTGTTGAAGATGTGGGGGGCAGAAGGGAGGAATACAGAAGTGAAGCAGTTGAGGCCCCTGCTCTTGAGACTCTTGCAGTCTATGGGGGAAAATAAGACCCCAACCCTGATTGCTGCAAAGCAAAAAACATTGGGAGGGAGCATGGCCCACATGATGAGCCCTGGACTGGGCATTGGGCCACCTGGATTTGATTCCCAGTTCTGCCTCTGGTTGGCTGTGCAACCCTGAGCAAGTCACTGTGCCCCTCTGAGCCAGCTTCTTTAACATGGAGATGAGAGTCCTGCTGACCTTGTGTGTTGCTGTGAAGGTAGATGAAGCAAGGGCCTATTTTGGTGCCTGGCATGTGGTGAGCACACCCTGGAGGGTAACTTTTACTAAAATGAATAATGTACAAAGTGATGAGGTTATTAAGTGGTGCAGAGAAAACGCTGGTGTATCAGGGAAGGCTTTTGGAGGGGGTGGTGGCATTTGAGTTAGGTGGCAAGAGGGGGCGTGGTTAGGGCATGTAGAAAGGATGTGAGACAGAGAAGGGGTCCAGGTGGAAAGGTCTGTGCAAACCATGCTCTGGAGGTGGAAAATCACAGGGCAGGTGTGGGAACTGACAGCCCTAGAACAGAGAAGGTTAGTAGTTCTTGGGCAAACCCTGATGTCAGGGACTTTGAATGCCAGGATGAGGATGCTTATCTGGATCCTCCATGTCCTGGGGAGGCAGCAAGGGGTTCTGAGTGGGGGGAAGCCACGAGTGGAGCCAGGAGGGAGGAAGATGAATCTGGCAGCGTGGGGCGGTAGATTGGCGGGGGAGAGACTGGGGGTGGAGAGGCCATTTAAAAGGCTGTTGCAAAATTGGTTTTCCTGATAAAGAGCTGGGCTGAGTCATCTGTGGAGGAGAGAAGTCATATCCAGCTCCTCTGTGTTGCTGTAGATGTGGGATTTTCCTCTGTTCGTCAGCCAGGCAATTGGCTGCCTTTTCCAGAGGCTTTGAGAACCGAGGCCTGCAGGCTGGAGGGAACATCCAGGGGGATGGTGGGCTGCAGGAAGGACCCAGCCAGAGTGAGTAAGATGTGGTGTCTTTGTGGCTCGGGGTGAGTGACTTGGGGCATCCCGTCTTTGGTCTCAGTTTCCCCTCTGGCATGAAGGGAGAGACATATGGTGACTTCTGCCAGTCTGTTAGTGGCAAGGCTAGCGCTGGGCCTGGGGCTCCCCACTCCTGTTCCTGTGTCTCCCATGCCTGGCAGTCCTTCCCACCTGAGTGTGGATTATTCTCCTGAGAGTATGCTGGCAGTCTGCCGGCCTCAGTCAGGTTGCACTCACCATGACTGGCGTGGATGGAGAACTCTCCGGGGCATGCAGACTGTGTCATTTCCTCCTTCCAGTGGGGAGGATGCGAGGCAGGGGCTGGCAAGGTAGCCAGGCCATTACTCAGGCCTCTTCATCTTCCTGCCCCCAGCTGAGCCAGAGGTTGTGCAGCGGCCAAACATTGGTTCCTTCCTAATCCCACTAGGGGGGCAGTTTACCCAGCCTCTTTACTGTCCTGTTGCCAAGACTTCAAGGTAGCCACAATGGGCTGCCTCAAGCCAGTGTCTATTCCCACCTCTGGCTCCCTGTCCCACCCTACCCCCAGCCCAGGCTGGACACTCCCATTGACGGCAACCGTGTGAAAAAGCATTTCCTTGAATTCTCCCTGTCCTGACCTTCTGCTCTGGCTTCCCTTCCCCTGCCCTGCCTCCCTCCTGCAGATCTTCAGTCCAGACAGGCCAATGGTGGACAGAACAAGCAGCTGCCCACAGAGGGTGGTAGGGGTAGGGGAAAGGACTTGTCCCTGCCTGAGTAAAACTAGAACTGGGGTCTTCTGACTCCACAAGTCTTTCATGCTTTATCAGTCATTTCTACCACAGTATGAATGAGTTTATCAGCTCTTCTGAGAGGAAGAAGGGAGAGAAAGCATGAGTTGTTCTAGGCAGAGGAGTTTTTAGGGGAGAGGGCCCTGCTCAGGGGCATTGGCCATGGGAAGAGGAAACAGAGGGCCCTGCAGACCATGCTCCAGGAGCACTAGAGCCTCTCTTGGTGCCCCTCCCTCCAAAGTCTGGGTCTGGAAGGCAGAGTGGTTAAGAGATGAGACTCAGCAGCCAGATGTCCTGAGTTTTGAATCCCAGCTCTACCACTTATAAGTCGTATGACCCTGGGCGGGTCTCTCTGAGCCCCAGTTTCATCTGCAAAATGAGAAGAATAACAGTACTTATCTCTTGGGGTTTTTGCGAGGATTGAACATGATGGTGAGAATAAGGTACATAGCACTGCACCTGGGCTGTAGTGAGCACTCAGTAATTGGAGCAGCCATTGGGATCCTCCTTCTAGCTGCTGTGTTCGGGCTTCTTGTCCCCCTTCCCCACTTGGGGATTTATCCTGTTGGACCCAGGCAGCTTTTCCTTGCGTCTGCCCTCCACCCCTTCCTCTTGCAGGCCTGATTTCGGGGCTCCTGATCCAATGTCTAGGTTGGGGTCTTTAAAGGGTTAGCACCCAACCTGGCCATGCAGAGGGTTAGATTGGGGGGGTGGGAGGGGCATCATGACCTGCACAGGTGCAGGCCACAGCCAGGCAGATTGAGGGTTCAATGAGGTGCCCTGCGACAGGGGACTCTGTAATTGGCCGAGCCCCCACCTTCTTCCAGTTTTGTTTGTGCAGGGTGGCAAAAATCGTGTGGATTGCTGGCTGGGTCTGGTCCAGACCTCCCACCAAATTCCTTTTGCGTGGAGTCATTGTGGTCTGGAGTGGGGTGAGGGAGCTCTCCTCGGAGGGCAGGGCTCATTCAACCCCCACCCCCAGCCTTTTCTGCCTTTCCTCTTGCCCCAGAACAGTAGCTTGGGGGAAGTTCTAAGCTTAGAGAGGTGGCAGCAGGGTCATCCATGGCAGCTGCTGTGAATGGAGCCTGGCCCAGAGTCAGCAGACCTGGGTCCTGGGCCCATGTCCTCCTCTTTGACCCTTTCCCTCTCTGAGCCTCCTAGTCCAGCTTATCCCTAAGGGCCTTTCACACACTGACATTTGAGGATTTTCTAAACTCATGGCCTCTTAGAACCAGCCTGGGGGTGGGATTGAAGCAAAAAAGTAAGCAGAAAAGCAGAAAAATGCAGGAACATTGAGAAGTTTGGATTATTCAAACACTGAAGCTCTTTCTATGAACCTCATACTGTGGGAACCTGCCAGCCAGGAGCTTGGTGCTCTCTGCAGTCATATAGGCCAGCTGTGAACCCAGCTGTACTCCTTTCTGGCTCTGTGACCTTGGGCAGCCCACTTGACCTCTCTGAGCCTTGGTTTTCTCATGGATAAAATGTGCATGATAATAGTTTATGCCTTGTAGGGTTGTTGTGAGAATTAAATAGCATGTGTAAGGTACACAGTAATGGCCCAACCAATATTAGTTACTATTGCTGCAATTGTCACAAGAAACATTGGTTGGACTAGGGATATCCTGACCGTGTCCCATGTGATTTGTATCTGTGAATTTCTGCCGGGCTGTCAGGCTGGGAAGAGAAAGCTTTTTATCTGTGTGGCCCTGGGAGACAGAAACACATCAAGACATAGGAGTGAATGTAGGAGCAACTTTATAGCTGAGGAATGTTAATTAGTGGAAGATACCTCCTGGGGTAGTGAGCTCATGTGGGGAATTGGACCCAGTGACAACCACCTCTGAGATTCTGAGCTCCTGTGATTTGGGGCAATAAGATATGCCTCCCCATAATTCTGGAATCCCCTGCTGTGTGACCTTCAGGATTCCAATCTATGCAAGTGCATCTCCTTTGCTAGGACAAGGTCTGATCCCTTCCAGGGAGTAGAGTGGGGTCACTGATTGCCAGCCCACCTCATGGTGGCATGAGTCCTCTGCCTCATCCACCTGAGCAGGATGACAATAAGCCCCTTGCATCCATGACCTCCCAAACCTGACAAGTGCTTTTACCCCACCCCTCGTCTCAATTAAGGAGACTATGGCTCTAAGAGGTGCAGTCACACAGCTAGCAAATGGCAGAACTTGGATTCAGGCCAGGAAACCTGGTGTCTAAGCAGAGCAGGTGAAATGGACACTGGGTGAGCTGAGCAACGTCTCAGGGTCCTCCAATGTGGCTGGCAATGCCCCACTTAGGCTGCCCCCAGGGGAGCAGCTTGTCTAAACCCTTCATCTTTTATAGATGGAGTGATACGGGCAGGAGAGGAGTCCTACTAGGAGGCAACAGGTGTAATGGGTGGGTGGGGTAGGCTGTGCACTCTTACTGTTTCCAACATGGGTTGGGGGTTTGGGTGGATCCAGGACCTGATGGGAGGAGGAAAGAAGGAGGTTGGGGCCAGAAAGCCTGTGGTTGCTTGGCCTGGTATCAGAGAAGCTACTGTCTGCAGCTCCTCTGCACTGTGTGGGCCTCCCTGCTGACTCCAGTGTGGGGGTTGGCAGGCTTTACCCTGGGTTACTTTCTCGACCTCAGTTTCTTCCTCTGTAAAATAGGTGGTGGTGAAATAACTCCTCTATAAGGGGCCTTTCCAGCTCTGAGAATCTGTGAATTGTGGGCCTTGCTGGCAGGATGCCTAGAAAGACTGTCCCTGGAGACCCAGCTGGCATGTCAAGGCCAGTGCTGACGAGCACAAGGTAGGAGGGAGGGCAGGGTCAGATTCCTCAAGAACTAATTAGCTTCCCACAGTAGGAGGGGAAAGGTGGCAGAGGGAGGTATTTCCTTAGCCACTCACCGAGCTCCTGGACCTGGCCGTAAGCTGAGCCATCCATCTGTCTGTTGATTCATTGGTTCATGCATCCATTTGTTCATTCATTGCTCAACAAGCATAAATTGAGCACCAACTGTATGCCAGTTGGGCACTGAGAATAAAGAGAAATGGTTGCCTCTGGTGAAATTACAGATTAACAGGGGACTGACGCCAGCCAGCATGATCCCTGACCTCAGGCCCCAGACTGAACCCTAACCCACCACTGACTCTGTCCCCCATTTGTCTCAGAGGGGCCTTTTGGGATAAACAGATAGCTTGAGCATGGGCTGTGGATCCAGGGAGAACTGATTCTGACTCCAGCTTTGCCACCCTTAAGAATGTGACCTTCAGTCAGTTACTTATAAGTCTCTGAACCTCAGTTTCCTCTTCTGTAAAACAGAGGCAAGCATCACTTATCCCATAGTGTTCTTGTAAGGATAAAATGACAGAATGCAGTGTTCTAGTGTAGTCACTACTGAAATTAGCTCAATTTATTACTTTTCAAGTGTTATGATTGTGAATTTTTAAATGATTGTTTACATAAAAGTGGGAAAAAATTCTGGAAGGATATGGAAGAAACTGACAGTGGTGGTTACCTGATTGTGATGTGAAGCCTTCAGGGGTGGAGGGACACTTTGCACTGTATAGCTTTTTATGTTTTTATTTTTAGGCCATGTGAATGTATTACCTCATGTTAGTGACATCTCTTTATAAAAATCATAGAAAATTACTACACTATAAAGGGCCCTAAGAAATGCACATAGAAATGTTCAGGGGTTCGTGCATTCAGTAATATTTACTGGGTGCCCACCAGGCACTATTCTAGGGGCGGGGGTTAGAGTAATAAGTCAAGCAGGTCACTGCCCCTTGAGAGCTATGCTCTAGGTGAGGAGACAGATAATAAAGAGGAAACATATGAAGAAGATCATTTCAAATTGTGGTAAATCTGTGAAAAAAAAAATAAAATAAAGAGATGGGATAGGAGAAGAGAAGGCATCTCCAGAGAGGTGACATTTCAGCTGAGACCTGAGTGACAAGAAGGAATTAACATGGAATGCCATCTGGGAAAACGTTATTGCAAGCAGAGGGAATAGCAAATACAGAGGCCCTGGGGCAGGAACACACTTGGTATTTTCAAGGAACAGAAAGAAAGCCAGTGTGGCAGAGCCCAGTGAGAGAGGAGAAGGGTGTTAGGAGATGCATCAAGGACATAGAGGGGCCTTGACGTCTAGGGTGAATTGTTCGTACTCAGTGTGGTAAAGTGCTGTATTAACCACCTTCAGGGGAATCCAAATAAAGGACCAGTGAATCCTGAGAGGATAGTCAGGAAGGATTTCACAAAGGTGGTGGCATTTGAGTTGGGCCATGAAGGGTGGGCCAGGGAACTTTATGAGGAGAGGAAACAGTGAGTCAAGATCAAATTCCAGAGGAAAAGATTATGTGTAGGAGGGCACAGGTGACCATCTTCCCATCTGTCTGTCTGTCTGTGCACCCTGCAGCACAGCATGCCCATTTGCTAACTGGGCTTCTCTCCCTCCCTGCAGCATCGGGCTGGAGCATTAGCCTCACCGAGAAGGATCTGAAGGAGGCCAAGGTGCGGAGCCAGCAGATCGCTGCGCAGCTGACCACCCCTCCCAGCTCCAATTCCCGCGGCGTCCAGCTCTTCAATAGGCGCCGGCAGAGGGTGAACGAGTTCACCTTGGAGAGCCACGGCAAGAGGGGACAGAAGCCCAGCCAGGAGTTCCTCAGAGCACTCCCTACAAGCCCCACAGGCCATGCCCCAGGGCTCAGCCTGAGTCCCACTGCACTGCCTGAGCCAGGCCCTCCAAGGCACCCCAATCCCAAGAGCCCCGACAAAGGGGTCCCTGGCCACAGCATGGAGGGTTACTCAGAGGACGCCAGCTTGCTGCGGCACCTGGAGAAGGTGGCCAGTGAGGAGGAAGAGGTACCACTGGTGGTTTATTTAAAGGAGAATGCAGCCCTGCTGACAGCCAATGGGCTTCACCTGTCCCAGAACCGAGAGGCCCAACAGTCCCCACCGACCCCACCTCCACCTGAGGTCCACAGCCCAGATGCAGATGTCAACCAAAACCTTTCCTCACCCAGTGCCACGCTCACCACACCAGCTTCTAACAGCAACCACAACCAGCCAGCCACTGATGTCAATCAGAATCCACCGGCAGCTGTCATCCTGCCACTTTCTAGCATCCAACAGAAGTCGTCAGAGGCACAGCTCCCGCCCAATGGCACAGTGCCAGATTCCAAATCCAGCACTCTGTGTGCTGATGGGCAACCCCCAGTGCCAGCTGAGGAGGTGAGATCCAACATACTCCTAATGGATAAGGTATCAACTCCACCGACCACCACCAGCACCTTCACCAGAGAAGCTACTCCCATCCCCAGCTCCGGGCCCTCAGCCCCAGATTTCATGTCCAGCTCCCTGCTCATCGATGTCCAGCCCAGTGCCCTAGTAGTGTCATCGGAACAAGAGATGTCTGGACGGGTGGCTGCCACCACACCCACCAAAGTGTACAGTGAGGTCCACCTCACACTGGCCAAACCCCCATCAGTGGTCAACAGGACGGCCAGGCCCTTTGGGATCCAGGCGCCAGGGGGCACGAGCCAGATGGAACGGAGCCCCACGGTAGAGAGACGACATCCTGGAGAGAAGGCCCCAGCACCCCAGCCCCCTACCATGGCAGACAGGAGTCCCCGGCCACAGAGACATGCAATGTCCCACAGTCCCATGGTGGAAAGGAGGCTGGTGGGGCAGCGAAGCCCGGCCTTGGAGAAACGCCCCTTGGGGAACTTCACCCCACCCCCCACCTACGCTGAGACCCTGTCCACGGCCCCTCTGGCTTCCCGGGTTAGGTCTCCCCCCTCTTATTCTGCCCTGTACCCCAGCTCCAACCCCAAGTCTTCTCATCTGAAGGGCCAGGCAGTTCCCCTCTGCAAGACAGGCATTTTGGAGGAGTCGATGGCTCGCCGGGGCAGCCGGAAATCCATGTTCACCTTCGTGGAGAAGCCCAAGGTGACCCCGAATCCAGACCTGCTGGATCTGGTACAGACAGCTGATGAGAAGCGGAGGCAGAGGGACCAGGGCGAGGCAGGTGTGGAGGAGGAGCCCTTCGCACTGGGGGCCGAGGCCTCCAACTTCCAGCAGGAGCCAGCACCTCGGGACAGGGCCAACCCCGCGGTGGCCGAGGAGGCTGTCCCAGAGTGGGCCTCCTGCCTCAAGTCCCCCCGCATCCAGGCCAAGCCAAAGCCCAAGCCCAACCAGAACCTCTCCGAGGCCTCTGGGAAGGGGGCTGAGCTCTACGCCCGCCGCCAGTCACGGATGGAGAAATACGTCATCGAGTCTTCAGGCCATGCTGAGCTGGCCCGCTGCCCTTCACCCACCATGTCCCTGCCTTCATCCTGGAAATACTCCACTAATGCCCCTGGGGGGTTCCGAGTGGCATCCCGCAGCCCAGCTCGGACCCCACCCGCCTCCCTTTACCATGGCTACCTGCCTGAGAACGGGATCTTGCGCCCGGAGCCCACCAAGCAGCCGCTGTACCAGCTGCGACCCTCGCTGTTTGTCCTCTCCCCCATCAAGGAACCTGCCAAGGCCTCGCCAAGAGCTGCCTCACCAAGAGCTGCCTCACCCGCCAAGCCCAGCTCCCTGGACCTGGTGCCCAGCCTGCCCAAGGCGGGCCTCCCGCCGTCTCCTGCCCTGCCTCGGCCCTCCCGCTCCTTGCCGGGCCTCTACACCTCACCTGGCCAGGATGGCCTCCAGCCTACTGCCGTGAGCCCTCCCTACAGCAGTGATATCTCCCCCGTGTCTCCCTCCAGGGTGTGGTCTCCCCGAGCCAAGCAGGCCCCCAGGCCCTCCTTCTCCACCCGAAATGCCGGGATTGAGGCTCAGGTGTGGAAGCCTTCCTTCTGCTTCAAGTAACAGACCCCCTTGGGATCCCCACTGCCTGTCAAGGGCCCCTCTCTGAGGGCCAGGTGGAGAGCAGATGTGGCAGGAAATGGCCCAGGGCTGAATGAGGAGTAGGGGAGTCTGTGGTTCAAGGTCTGATGCTGCTACCAGCTAGCTTGTGACCTTGGGCAAGTTGCCTCCCCTCTTTGAGCTGCAGCTGCCCTTTCCCTACTGTGAGGGGGGTTGGACTCCATGTCTGGGCGGGGAGAAGAGTCATGGAAAGACAACTCCCTTGGCAAGCCCTGATGGAGCTGAGGGGCTTCCTCTGCCCTTTGTGAGCTGTGGGGATGCCAGAGTCTGATGCCAGCGTCTTGCTGGGGGAATGGCCTACAAGGGGATCCCAACAGGCACCTCCAGAGCAGACAGAACTTGCCAGTGGCTGAGGAATCATCCAGCCACAGGTCTGCTTCAGCTGCCCCAGGAGGCCTCTGTCATGTGGCCCAGGCTCCTGGCACCTTTCTTCCTGCTGCTGGATTCTCACCTTCAAAGGCCTGTCTCTTCCATCTCTGCCTCTGGACACCATTTCCTCTCCACCGCTTCAGAGAGCTCTGCCTCGCCTCCACTTTTTCTCCTCTCCTGGGCCGCTCTGCTGGATGCCCACCACCACTGCTGTCCAATGCTTTTCTTGCTGCCCCTGTATGCAGCTGCTTCCATGGCCCCTCCAAGACCTGGCTCCCCTTTAGGGACACTCCAGGGCCCCGACCTCAGTCCTGGTTCCACCTGGTTTGCCCTCAGTGTTCTGAGGTGGGAGACATTTCATGAGACCCGTGAGAGGAGAGCCCTGTAAAAGGTTGTGCAGACATGGGCCTGCCCTTAGAGAGTGGCCCCTACGATGTATTCATTGGCTGTTTTCGTTTCAACCTGAGCCAAGATCTGCCTGACTAAAAGAGGCTACCTCCGGACAGGGGAATGGGCCCCAGGGAGAGAGCCAGGGCAGAGGGTTCTGTTCCCATCTCAGCATCACATTTGCTGTGTGGTTTTAGCCAAGTTACTTTCGCTTTTTGGGCCCCAGTTTTTTTATTTATACAATGAGGGCCCTTCTAGCTGTGACAATCTGTGAGGATTGAGAGGATAGGCTGGTGTTTGGGGAGAAAGGTCTTGTAAGTGACAAGACAGTCCCTTCGGAAGAGAAGGAAGAGGAGGGGACTGATGCCAAAGGACAGATAGAGTTAGATGTTTGTGAGGGCAACCTGGTGAGGATATAGTTGGAATGAGCTGCTGCAGAAGGCAGAGGGATCAGAAGCCTGGGCTGGGCCAGCTCAGGCTCAGGCTCAGGCTTGCCTGGAGCCAGTGGGAGCATGGCATGGCCTGGGGCAGGAGCACAGCAGCTCAGAGGGAAGGGACAGAAGAGATCTGAAGGTTTTGAGGAAAAGTCTGGGACTTGAGACCTGGATTATAACAGACTGACTACATGTTTATCTTTGGGTTGCAATTTCCCCGTTAATATAGTGAAGGTGTTGAGTCAGGTAGTATGAGATTTCCAACCACCTCTGACATCTTTGATGTGATGCAGCCCCCTCAAACCAAGCTTTGGGGGATCAGAGAATACAGACGCAAGAGGCAGGATTCAGATGGAAGCTTCCCAAGCCAGGGGGCCGAGGACCACCCACTTTCTCTTTCCCAGCCCTATTCCTGGGCTCCCCAGCGGGGTGAGGGGTGGTGGAGGCGGTGCTGGGCTGAGCCTGCAGTTTTCGTGAGCTCTGGGCTTGTCTCCATGGGAACAGGGGGTGCCTTCCCAGTGAGCTCATTCCACACAGAATGAGGGGGTATGTGTGGGGGAGTTGTGAGTGAGCTCAGCTGGTTCATGCCAGGCCCCTCCCAGAGCAGTGCAAAGCCCCTGCCTTGGACCCCTGCTCCCTTTGACCCCTGAGGGCCAGCAATGGAAGAGCCCACCCTCCATTCTGCAGCTCCCACGGCAAGGCTGAGCTCTTCCCCCAACTTTGTTTTCTCTCCTGTTCTCAATACACTCTGCCTCAAATCTGTCTTGCTTCTTTCTTTCTTCTGCACTCGCTCGTTGGCTCCCTCCCTCCTTCCTGACCCTGGCCTGGGAAGTGGAGTGAGACTGCTCAGTTTGTGTGTGAAAGTGTGGTTGTGACCCATGCCACCTGCATCTGCCAAGGGTACAGACATGGACTGGCTTGGAAGTTAGGGCTTCCCCCTCTGCCGCAGGTCAGCACTCAGGGAACCAGAACCCTGTGCAAATCACCTTCTGTTTTTTCCTTCCCTCAGAGTTTGGCCAAAAACATGGTAGCATGGGGAAAATGCACTGCCTCTTATGGTCCAGGTTTGTTTGGGTTCTTTAAAGGTGGAATTGAAATGTCCTTAGCCAGAGCATTCACTGTCCAGTCTCTAGGTCCCCTCCCCATCTCCCTAATATCTAATGGCCATTTCCCACATTTGTCACCAAAACCTCCCTTTTTTTTTTGTCCTTTTGTCTTTTTTCGTGACCGGCAACGGATCGCAACCCTCAGTGTCACGCCCGTACCGGACCGGGACCGGCAACGGGATCGCAACCCTCGGTGTTGCCCCCGCTCCTCGCTCAGCCAGTGAGCCGCCGGTCTGCACGTGGGATCCGAACCCTCGGCGGGAGCGCCGCCGCACTTCCCAAGCGGCGCACTGTAGCAGTGCACCACCGGACCGGCCCCAAAACCTCCCTTTCATCTCTGATAGTCCCTGTCTGACTCTGCTCTATCCATGCCTTCACCCTACACATGTGCCCTGCTTTGGGGCTGGTACTGGGTTGAGTGGGTGCTGCTTTCTGAATTTTCACCCACTGTATTTCCAAGGAGTTCTGGTATATAAGGTGCATTGAGCTCTTTGACAGCAAGTGAACACTCCTGATTTCTTGTAGCCTTTTTGTATCGTGCACCCCTCCCCTCCCCCCACATACACAGAGTTGGCACTGGACATGGCAGTTAGTATGAGGTCAGGCTCTGGCCCACATCCCAACGATGAGGAGCTGCTCACCACTGCCCCAACATTCCAACCCATGCTCGAGCCGGTCTGTTGCATAGTCTTGGCTGGATTCTATTACTCCTTCCCCTTGTTGACCCCAGCATTGTCCTTGTGCCACCAAGAGCACACAACCCATTAGAAATTTTTAGACATTTATCATAGCTCCCCCTGCCCCAGCCTACTCTTCTGTTGGCTGAAGAACCTGCGTTCCTCTGCTTTAGTGGTTGTTGACTGGCTTGGGTCATGAGCTCTTGGCCTCAACTCCCCACTCAGGGTGGCACTGTGGTCTGGTGTTGGGACATACCTGAGCCCACCCTGACTTGGCATTTGGCTCTGAGATTGGTCTCAGCCTCTAGTCCTTCCCACCTAGCCCGGGGGGAGGGCTCCTTCCCAGTTTCTCTCCCTAAGTCCTGGGGTCTGCCTTCTGCAGATGGCCTGACTTAAAGCTTTCTGGGATGTGTCACAGACACAAGAGTAGCTCCTAGTGTTTCTGGCTCATGTATACACAACTCTGACCTCAGGGGTAAAAGAAGTGGGTCCCACGCTGAAACTTAACTTTCCTATTTGATGACTGAGAGCTTGGATAGCCCCAGGAGGTCTCTAAGGATCACTCCAGCATTACCATTCCCTGAAAAATTTTCCCATTCAGGCTGTAGGATAACATTCCTCTTTAGGTTAAAGAGCTCATCTAGCAGCTGCTGCATTCTGTTTGGAAAAAACATACAATATGTGTCTATTGCTTCCTCTTGATTGGGAGGAACTAGATTCTTGATTGGATGAGAGGGTGACTGGCTTGGCTGTGGCTGATCACTGAATGGATGAAAGAATGGATCTTGTGGATGGTTCTAGATTTTCATTGGGTGGGAGGCACTGAATGGACTGGCTAGCTCTCTGCTCTGATGGATGACTGCTGGTGAATATGGATTGAATTGGGAGGCCATGTAGACTGGGTATTGCTGAACTTGGATTGGATGAACAGTCAGATGGTTCAGGAGATACATGCTAGGCGCGGATTCCCAAGCTCTCCACTCTCAAAGCAGATCATACTGCTTAAACATGGTATAGCCTTTGAGCAACAGATAGTTACACACACACACACACAATCACACACACACACACACACACACACTTCCTGGTGGGGCAAAAAAAAAAAAACTGGGGTTTTTCTTATGCTTCTGAGCCTCATTTTCATTAATAGTAAAACAGGTGTTGTTATGCCAGCTGCATTACCAATCTGTTGTGAGGAACTTACCAGAGATAAAAGATGAGAATGAACCCTGTAGACTGGAAAGTCCTTGAATAGGTAGGTAATAGGTGTGGCAGTACATAGCAGAGCAGTGCCTTATAACCTTAGAGATGTTCACAATCTTGGCCTCACCCAAGCCACATTCCCCTCCCTATACTGACAAGAAGTCCAGTGAGGGGAGTGTGCTTGGAGAATGACCCGGCTTCCTTTTGTACTTCCAGCTGTCAGGGATTATGCTCTCTGCTCAGGCACCCAAGGAAAAATGAGGAGGTGACCATGGCAACATGGCAAGGAGTTGGGGGCTGAGAGGGCCTTGCGAAGTCTGCTGTTAATAATAATAGTCAACATTTTTAAATTTCAAATTTTTGAGTAGGTAATACATCCATATGGCTCAAAAATCTAAACTTATATATAAAAAATAATACATTAAAAGGCCTTATTCCCACCCCCTGTGGCTGTATACCCAGACCCCGTTTACTTCATTTCCTAACAGGTAGCCACTTTGGTTAGTTTCATGTGTATCCTTCCAGTAGTTCTTCATGGTAACTAACACCTACTGAGCACTTTCTTCCAAGGAATGTGCTAATACATGTAATGTTTTACATGAATTATCTCACTTAATTCCCACAACAACCCTATAGAGTATGTACTGTTATTATACCCCATTTTACAGAGGAGGAAACTGAGGTCCAGAGGAGTGAAGCAACTTGCCCAAGTCTGTCTCCAAAGCGAGCACTTTTAACCACTGATCATCTGCCTAACTGTTAAACGTAGGGGCAGACACCAGGCAGTGTGGGCTCGGTAAAGTATTCTGGGCTGAGAGTCGGGACACCCGCGTTTTATCGCAGGCACTACCCTTGATTTTTGTCGGTGGCTTCCCGTTTCTGTAAAATGGTCAAATCAGACTCGGTCCCTTCCAAAACTCCAGTATAGAGGACCCCAGCACTAACGCCTGTCCCCACCTTCTTTGCTCTCTCCCCAGGACCGCCGGGAGAGCCTGCCCACCTCCCCGCCCTGGACGCCGAGCGCGTCCCGGCCCCCCAGCAGCCTGGACGGCTGGGTGAGCCCGGGGGCGTGGGAGCCGGGCCGCGGGAGCAGCATGAGCAGCCCCCCACCGCTGCCGCCGCCGCCGCCTATGTCCCCGTCGTGGAGCGAGCGCTCGGTATCCCCGCTGCGACCCGAGATCGATGCGCGGCCCCCGAGCCGCCAGCTGCAGGCGCTCCTGGCGCGAAACATCATCAACGCCGCCCGGCGCAAGAGCGCCTCCCCGCGGCCGGCGGGCGCCGAGAGCCTGCGGCCCTTCTCCCCGCCCAGGG